TCCCACTCTTAGTTAGTCTCAGTTGCTCACACTTGGAGCGCCGGGTGCACGTCCTTCCTACCTGTCGCCTGGGCGCACTCAGTCCCGGGCCCTCTCCCACCCCTTCCAGTGGCCCAGGTTCCCCCTCCTTGCTCCTGTAGCTTTTTGTTCTCTCGCCTCCGTTTCTCACACCTTTTATTCACTTTTTGGTTGTGCGTTGTTTTAATTTTCAGTGTGTATATACCTAATAGTTCTTTTGTAGGGAGTAAGATGTCTGAGTTCTTGTGTTCTGGAAGTGTCTTTATTTTGTACTTTTACTTGAATGTTTTGTAGGAGGTTTAGGTTCAAAGTGCATTTTCCTACACGTTTGACGATACTGCTCTGTCGTATTCTGGAATTAAAGCCCCTGGATGAGAAACCTGGTGCTGAAATTACTTTTGTCCCCTCCTTGGTAACTGTTCGCCTTCCCTCTTCCTGCCCAGATCAGTAATAATAATTCCTTCACATCACCAGACTGAGGTGTAACTGTTTTCCTGACACTGCCTCATACATTTTTGAGCCAGTTGTTGATTTCAATTAGGATCCAAACAAAGACCACAGGTTGCATTTGGTTGACATGTTTCTTAAATCTCTGTGAATATATGTTTCTCCTCTGCCCCGCTTTTCCCCCCTTGCAGTTTTTTTTTTTAATGAATTTTATAGCTCTTTTACTTATTTTTGACTTTAAATAATTTTTTATTTTTCAGTTACAGTTGACATACAGTATTATATTAGTTTCAGGTGTACAACCCAGTTATATAACTTACTAAGTGGTCATCCTGATAAATCTCGCACCCATCCGACACCACAGTTTTGTGGCGTCACTGACTGCGTCCCGGCGCTGTACTTCACGTCCCTGTGACTGCCCTGTAACTACCCATCTGCACTTCTCAGTCCCTCGCCTTTTACACCCAGCCCCCAACCCCCTCCCCTCTGGAACCGTCAGTACATCTGAAACGAATACAAAATAATATTGAATGTAAAACTCTTTGAAAAATAGAATAAAATTAAAAAGAAGGATGCTGTTCCTTCGGCATGGCAACCACCCTCCAGGAACCCATGGTCTAGAGTTTGTTTGAGGTGATTTGAAGAACAAAACTACAAAAGACAACGTGAACCAAAAAATCCGTTTTATTTGTATCCATTCTCTGGCTGTCCCTTTGCCCAAGTGATGCGGTCCCCAGATAGCAGAGCCATGCATGTAACTCAGACACCTTCGAACCCAGCCGATGTGCGTGTGCGTTTGGTCGGGAACTGCTCATGCGACGGTGCGAACACCGCGGCTTCTTTCTCCCCGCCTGCACCCCTGGGCTTGCGCGGGGTGAGGCGCGTCTGCCTCTGTGGCTTGTGCTCCTACGTGCCGTTCGTGTGACCTGCAGCCCCCCGCGTGTGACTGGTGTTTCCATAGATGCATTTCTTATGCCTGTGAACCCGAACACAGGCCAGCTACTGCACGTGGTGCCCGATCTAAGAGACGCTCTGCCCCCAAACCCGGCAACTTGGGCGATCTTCAAGGGCGTGTAGTGCTGGGTACCTGGCATCTTTTGGACCCCCAGTTACTTTGGAAACTTAACTAGTTTGCAAGACGTAAAGTCGGGGTACCCAAGGGCTTGACCGGCACAGAGCAGAAGGCATCGTTATTTTGCTATAAAGCCTTTACTTGTCGTGAATTCCAGGTTTTAACCATCTCTTTCCCTCTCCCTCCCTTCCTTCTCTCCACTTCCCTCCTTCCCTCTCTCCTACCTTTATTTTCTCTTTTGCAGTCTGCTGTTTTGTCGTCCACAAGCGGTGCCATGAATTTGTCACTTTCTCCTGCCCAGGCGCTGACAAGGGTCCCGCCTCTGATGTAAGTAACGGGCACTGGTCCCCTGTCTTTGTCCACAGTCGGGGTAAGTGAGGACCCTGAGACAAAGAAGTTGGGGTGGTCTCACTCCAAGGCATGTATGGTCCTTATATTTTTTCATTTTAATGGGAAAAAACAAAAAACAAAACATTTCCAGAGGGGGTGTGACCATACAGGAAACAAGCTGCTCCCCTACTGTGATTTTGCTAAATGTCTAAAAAATTTTTATTGAATTTATTGGGGTGACATTGGTTAATATGATTATATAAGTCTCATAAACGTCTTTTCATCTTGACAGCTGGGGCATGGAGAGTGGTGGGCGGGGGAGAGGTAGTTGGCTAGACCTTCATGCAAGCTCTTGAGAGCCCTTTGCTGTGGAATGCTTGGTACCAGGGCCCGAGAACTAGGGGGAAATGACTTTGTCCTGTTACTGTGCATCCCCCGGTATGACTGCTGTGGGTGGGACAAGGGATGCTTCTAGATAAAACAGGCAAAGAATTTTTGTTTTAATCATTATGAGTTTGTTTTGGAATGGAAAAATGTATCTAGTAGTGATTTTGCATTTATAGTAGGAATGTAAAATTTCCTGCCTAAGTAAAAGTATTTAGGGTAAACCAAAGATATATTGATTTAAGGAAAATATTAAGTGAATGATGGTATGGATACTATAAGGTTATGACAGAACTCTTGGTGCAGATTTGTCTAAGATTTGGGTGCATCGTTGATCGCCTCCCCGACAGCCATTCATGGCCCGCACCTGCCCTCTGGCACAGGCCGCCTCTCACGCTGGCAGCTGCAATGCCAGCCACTTACTTCCCCCAGCCGAGGAGCTAGTGACTGGGCATGTGACTGCCTTCTGCTCAGTGGGGTGGGGAAGCCTGCGTAAGGCTTCTAGGAAAGACTGTCCTTTCTGATAAGAGAAGACATCTCTTTCTTTGTCCTGCTTGTGGTTGTGACAGCCCTTTAGGGACAGTGAGGGAGACGTGGCTGACATGCTGGGCACGGCAGAGTGGGCGGAACCTGAGTCACTGCTGACGTTGATAAGCAGCTGAGCCAGCTCTGAGCTCCCTCATGCCAGACTGTATGTGAGATGAGAAGCTGGCAGGAGGACTCGGTGAAGTCTCGCTGAACTTTCCCAGGAGGACTTCCCACCACGCACACTTTCCCACTGCCCAGTAATGAACTGTGTCCAGGTAGCCGCTGCACAGCTGCCACCCTAGTGTTCTCGTTTGTCCTGTTTTGGTTTCACCTTCTGGAATTTTCTGCATGGATTTTGTCCATTACTGGTCCTGTTCTTACCCACTTAGACCTGACAGCTGCCCTCAGAGTGGTGACAACTTTGTGTCCTTGGATCTGTTTGACTCTTGCTAACCTTTTACAAATGGTCATTTGCCATGTCCCCGCAAAGCGGGCCTATCTGTTGCCATGGCAACACGAGCCCGCTAGGGCTCCGGCCACAGCTGCTCTGCTTGGAAACTGGTACTTGGGGTCAGAACTGCAGGCTGCACAGAAGCAGCACAGCCCTTCCGGCCTGTCCGCGGAGGGGAGGACCGGGACGCTGTCAGGGTCCCTCTGGGCCTTCCAGTGCGGTTCCTCTTCTCGCGCCCGGGAAAGCAGGCAGGGCAGCTTGGGGACGGCTGACCCGGTGTGCGGCTCTGAGTGTCCTGTAGACGGAGGCTTGGGAATGCTCAAGGAGCAGCAGGAGGATGGTGTTCCCGTCCTGCCTGCACAGGGTGGGCAAGGCTGCTCACGGAGTGCACGAACGAGCTCCTTCTGTTATTTATTAATTATTGTATTATTTTCCACACAAACAACTGCAAACCTACTTTTCCCCGCCCCGTATTCATTGGCTTTTTCTGTTGCCTAAGACAGAAACTCAGCTCAGACGGGCTTATATGAAAAGGGAGATTCCTGGTCCCTGAAACGGAAAAGCCAAGGGTAGGCTGGTCAGAGCCCTGGATCAGGTGCAGAGTGCGGTCCTCAGGAGTCTCCTTCTCCAGGTTGGCCCAGCCTTCCTGTCCTGCTTTCAGGTTCAGGAGCATGTTTCTCCCGGGCAGCGTGATGGCTGCAGCTCTAGGGAGGAGAGCTGGCCTCACTGGACCATGGGCCACATGTAGCCAGAAGGATGGTTGCGCTGACAGGCCAGACATGCTCATGTGTCTGCTCCTGGAAAGGAGGGCCCGGGTGCCTACCCCAAAATTTGGGAGTGGGGGAGAAGTGGTCCCTCAGAAGGAAACTAGAGAAAAATATTGAGAACCGTTTAGAAGTCACAAACCATAGGGCCGGCATTCACAGACTCGAATATGTGTGACCTTTGGCAAATTACCTAAATCTCTTTGTGCCTTAGGTTCCTCAGCGGAAATAGATAAAATAACAGCCCCTACCTTATGGCATTGTTATGAGCACCCAGCGAGTAAAATCTGTGAAAGCGCTGAGGACAGGGTCTGTGCCGGGCAGGAGCTGTATGTGGGGAGAAGATGCTGGCGACGGGGGGCAGCGGGGGGTCTGCGGAGGGAGTGTGACAGTGAGCGACCTCTCTGCCTGCCACCTGCCGTCCTCCTAGCAGTGTGGGCGCCGCGGGTGTCAGCGGCCCTCACTGTACGCGTGGAGCTGCGCAGCCATCCATTACCTTGGCACGGGGAGAGCAGCGGGCACCCCTGTAGCCAGCGTGCATGGGATTTGGCAGCCTGCCTGGGACGATCCTATCTCTGGACATAGTTCCAAGAAGGTTGGTTGGCACCAAGGATGATGAATTGGTCCAGACAACTGAATTGGTTTGATTCTCAGTTCATTGACCTTTTTTTGTCTACGGTCGGAGGCATGATTAAAGATCTGTCCACACCTGCTCGGCAACCTGGCCGGGCTCTTGCTGGCTGAGACTCAGGCGCAGCCAGATTCAGGCTTGGAGGAGTGCCCTGCTCCTGCGTGACCTTGGAGGAGCTGGTGTGGGCAAGCTCATGGAGCAGCGCAGCACGTCTCCATCCATGGAAAAGCAGTGTGCTGGCCCTGTCCGCGCCCCTCTGCTCTCCCAAGCCCAGTCTGAGCTAGGGATATGCTGGATGTTGGAACTTAGTCTTCTACAGATAAGTCCAAATCATGGAACATCAGTCCCCCTGAGGAACTTTATGGACCGGGAACTGTCCCAGTGAACCCAGCTACTGACCAGTTATTCGGTGCCAATGGGAACAGACATATGTGGGCACCGACCATTGGAGGACCTCCAGTGACAGAGTTCCTGGCTGGTACTTCTGGTCACCTACAGATACCCTCCTGGTTCTTGGTCTCTTCCCTGGTTGGGGACTCTCAATTCTGCTGTCTCTTGGACCATTTCAAGCATATGTATGGACATTACAGTTACCCATCACTTGCAATGCTGACCGTACACACTGCCTCCTGAGAGATCTCAGAACGAGAAGGAGAGGAGTTGTCTCTGAGGGCTGGGATGAGTTAAGTGAGGTGCTTGCCCTGGGCACAAAATGTAGCCTCACCTGTGTCAGTGGCTCCCTGGTGGCTGGGTGATCTAGGATGGCCGGCAGTGAGCGGGTGGTTGGCCCGGGAGCCTCGGTTCTCCATGTGGCCGCATCCTTCAGCTGGCTCGCTCTGGTTCACACGGTGCTGTCAGGGTTCCAAGAAGGGCAGCTCAGTGTAACCACAGCACATGTGTTTTTCCAGCCTGTGCACCACGTTTGATAGTGTCCACTGGAGAAAGTAGTGGAGAAAGAGATTTCACTTTTCATGGGAAGGAAGAATCTCTGGTAAATCTACGGCAGATCTTGTTGGCTCCAAAAGCCACTGAGAGCAGAACCTCTGGACTTCATAGGAGACCCACAGGCCTTGGTGTCAGTCAGAGGGTCAGAGGTGGCCCTACGGAGAGAGCACATTCATTCCCTGCCCCAATCCCTCGCCGATCCGGCACCTCCAGCTACAGTGGAAAGCTGGGCAATGTATTGATCGTGTCAGTGGCGGGTGAGAGTGTGGACCCTGGAGCCAGACGTGGGTTCAGGGCCTGACTCTGCCAGCTATTCACTAGGGGGCTTGGGCCTGCCATTTCCCTCTTGGTGCCATTTCCCTCTTGGTGGCTCAGTTTCCTCTATAAATCAGAATATTAGTACCAACCACATAAACTTGTTGTAGTAATTTGTTAATCCTCAAAATGAAAAGAGGTTTAAAAAAATGAAATAAAACAGCAAAAGGGTTAACCCCGTTGCCTGAAAGTGCTTCGCCCCGTGCCTGTCACACGGTGAGCCCGCACTCGCAGCTGAGGGCCTGCCGGTTGCCCGTCTCCCTAACAGTGAACGTGCTGGAGCCCCCTGCCCGACTCCACCCAGAGCGCGCTCGTGCCAGGTGACTGCCCCCGTGCCTCCGACTCTGTGGTGCGTGCTAAGAAAAGAACCCGGGCTTGGGCGCCAGAGAACCTGGCTGTCACATTCCAGCGCTGCCGTTCTCTGCTCCAGCGACCTGGGGAGTAATCAGCCGTGTGACACTGAGTTTGTATCTTTAGAGTGGGCGAAGTGATAGCTAAGTCATACTTTTTTGTGAGTATTTACTGAGAGGCTGATTGAGCTACGTCCACAATAGCACCTGGCACAAAGAAGGCAGTCAGTAAATGGCCTCTGAATTACGTCCGTACCCGAAGGAGTCTCTCCTAGCTCAAGAGGGCTAGCGGCCACCTCTCACCCGCTGATAGTAATATTTACTGAGTGGAGGCCTCTGTGCCAGGCAGTGCAAAAGGATTCTATAGCAGGTTTGTGTAAAAATACTTCCTTCAACATTCTATGGTTTTAGAAATAATCCCTTATCATTTATAATCAAGGTACTGAGTAAAATCCATTGTCAATGCCCTGCACCCCCCTGACTCTATCACTAACACAGGTCAGTCACAGGCGATGGGCACACATGTGGAGTCAGGTCAGTTACAGGTGATGGACATGCATGTGGAGTCAGGCCAGTTACAAGTGATGGACATGCATGTGGAGTCAGGCCAGTTACAAGTGATGGACATG